TTATTACTATTATAATTTCAATATTGCTTAGAGTCACTGTGATATTACTTCTATACTCACATTTAAGAGTTCTCTTACATTGTCATTAGACATGTCATTTATTGAGTATATGATATCTGTGAAATCTTGGAAAAGTGTAATCTTATGAATATCTTATATTTCTGAGTATCAGAACTCTCAGATCTTTCACTGATATTCTCTTTATAAAATCTTATTATAGAGTCAGAGTGACTGATAAACAAGCTTCTATCTGAGAACTCAGTGTTCATTTAACTATTTAACTATTTCTCTATTTGTTACATATTATTATATATTTAAATATCTCTCAATGAATAATCATTTCTGATGAGAAGATGATGCATGAATAATTGTTTTCTAATAAGAAGATAATGAATGTTTTTCTAGTGTAAGAGATCTACACTGAATAGATTAATATAATATTAATAGATCTTATATAATAAAGAGAAAAATGTTAGAGAAGAAAAGAAAGAGAAAGTGCAAGAATCAGTGATTGAAGTGAATATTTATATGTGTATGTGGTGATATACGCGGTGGTGCTTCAGGGTGGAAGAATATACACATGTTCATAGCGGCCGAGGATCAGTGATTGAAACATACACATTCGTGGCGGCTGAGGATCGGCGATCGGGAATGGGGCGGTAGAAATCTATGAAGTGTACGGAATAGTCTATATAATTGATCGGGCGCAGCCTATCACAGAAGTGAAAGTTTAACTCAAGCTGAGATATTTATCACTATCACTGAGAATAATTACAAGAAGAAACAATCAAAAAACTCATGATTATAAAACATGAAATTATCAGATAGTTTAATACCTCTGATCACAGTATATCAGAGAAGTGTAGTTTTCATGAGAAAGTGAAGAATAAACTTGTATAAGAATGTATTTAGTGATTTTATAAGTATTATCAATAATTACTATCAAATTCTAATTATATAAGCAATCACTGAATAAACTGAATGAGACTGAATTTAATCTTCAGTCTCAGTCTCATTCTGATTTTAAAAGAATAATCATCTTTCACAGTTTATTCTGAGAAATTACTATCATTTCACTGTTCTTGAATTAAATCTGGTTATTTTTCACATCATTTCTTTCAGAAATAATTCATTTTCAGATTTTTTTAATACTTGGTTCTGATGAGACTCATATCAAGAAATGTATGAGATCGGATCAAATGAGATTAAATGTGAAATTCATGATCTTACCGGTCAGTCTAGAAGCAGCTATCTGAATCATAAATAACTCTTATTAAAGAAGTCTTAGAGAACTTATTAATTACTTATAGAATATCATTTTCTGTATCTGTAATAGAGAAACTCTCTGAATCTACAAATAAATAAATCTCAGTGAAGAATATTCTTGAGCATCTCTCACAGAATTAAGCTATTTTTCTATAAGAAATACTTACTGTCTGTAAACACTCTTGAACTGAGTCTCTAGACATGATCTTCAGAAATACTTATAAACTGAAAAGAAACTTTCTTAAGCTGTAATCACTTAAGACTATCTACTGAATTACAATCTATAAAAGCTTTTATAAGTTTGTATTTAAAATTAACTTATAAGTCTGACTATGTAATATAAAAGATGAAGAAGCTCTTATCTATATAATAACAGATCTCTACTATATTAAAGTCAAGAATGAACTGAATTATTTAGAGAATAATTATAAGAGATTTTACTGATCTGTTCTCAAGATCTATCTAGAGAATAAGTTAAGAGACTCTGTAAGTTGAACAGAGAATATCTGAACTGCAATTATTAATATTAGAAAAAGAGATAAGAAATCTAATAAAGACTACTTATAGCACTTCATAGAATTATAATATAAATTAAAATCTGTGAAAACAGAGTTCTGAAATATGATCTGAATAATAATATTTATAAAGAGACTGAATAAAAATATATAGAATAAGCGCATTAAGTAAGACTCTAAATTCTTAACTTTGAAGAAATTAATAACTCTTATTCATCACTTACAGATTACTGTAAGAATTACAGATCTATGAAGAGTGAATCACTAATCAGCTCTGTAAGAGTCAGAATAACAGAGAACAGATTTACTGAGAAAAGATAATAAGATATAGAGAGATTCATATCTGACTACTAAGTAGAGAGAGAGAGCTTTATAAGCTTCTATAAACAGAGTGTATAATAAAGAGATTAAGAAAAAAAGTCTCTGCTTTATCTATTTTAAATCAGAATATCTTCATACAAACTATTCATATAAATTAAAATAGAAATTTCAGAAGTTACAGATAGAGTCAGATAACAGTCTTCTTAAGAGTCTTAAAATTGATATCTGAATCTGTTACTTCTCTGATAAAAATACATACTTATAGAGAGAGACTGCACTGCAGTACTATTATATCATAAGTATGAGAAGTATTAATAAACTCAGAATCACAGGTTACTATAGAGTTTCTAAAGTTTATGAAGTGAATAAACTGAATAATAAAAACTGAGAATCTGCTCTTATAATAAGCAGAGTATGAGAACTCAGATCTGAGAGCTGAGAAAGTTATAAAAGTTATATTTGAATTATAAGATATCTCTAAAACTTGAAAAAGATTTACAGAAACTGTGATTATTATAAACATCACAGATAATATATACTTGAGACTTGTATATCTTTAAAGACACAATCTGTATATAGTTGTTTATAAGTAAGATTTATACTTTTGATCAATATTGACAGACTTACTTATAAAGATAGAATCAGTTAATACTGTAAAGTTAGTTAGAGAAGATAAGCTTATCTATATAATAACTTTATAAATATCTGAGAACTTCACAGTTATGAAAACTGAGCTTTAAATATCAGAGAAATACTAAGATCTTATAGAGATATTCAGTTCAGCTAAGACAGCTAAGCTTTTATCTCACTATAAGAAGAATCTGATAATAAATTTGATAGAAGAGTAGAAACTCTTCTGAAGATTAATTTATAAGCTCTCTCATTATAAGACAGAAATCTTACAGACTTATATAAAGAAGAATCTGAAGAATAACTTTATCTAATCTTCATAGATCTTTACAGAAGTCTCTGTGATATTTATAAAGAAGAAGAATAAAGATTTCAGATTGTATATAAACTATTATAATCTGAACTTTAAGACTATAAAGAGTCACTACTCTCTATCTCTGATTAAGAATGTAATTAATCATCTCATAAGAGCTGTTATATTTAGACTGACCGTGTGACCGTGTCTGGGACCAGGATCAAACTTTACAGTTGTCACATTGCCTAAAAGCATTACTTCTGATCATGGTTTGTGTTCATCACATTGATCCCAAATCACATTATTTCAAATATTAAAGATCCCAGATTCACTTTTCAAATAAAAATCTAGTTCTGAATAAAGAATATATTTGAATTCTTAGTCACATTTTCATTCTGATCTCATTATTGAGAATGGCATTAAATGAGATTATGAAATCACTTCTCACTTACATAATATCATAACATAGTGCTCATTTGTTGAAAATTCAACAGAGAGTATTATTAAATATCATTACTTTTCTAAACACAGATCATAATTCATATAATTTTAATTATAAAAAAAACATAAAATACAAAAAAAAACAAAAAACAAAAAACAAAACAAACACAAGAAAAAATCACATTAAAAAAAAAAAAAAGAAAAGGAAAAGAAAAAAATAAAAAATAAAAATAAAAAAAATCAAGGTTGCAGGGCTGCAGCATTCTTAAAATACTCACTTTTCAGAGTCTTTGCAATGTTCATCACCAACTGTGTATCTCTCACAGTGAGGGTAACACAGCTGTGATGAGTCATTGTCTTAACATCATCTAACAAATAATCAGTATATATCTGTATAAATGTGAATAATTAGAAAACATACACTTAAAAAGTGTGGCCAGAGTGGACTCTGCTGTCACTTGAATGACATCAAGGACAGAACACTGAAATTGATGATTTCTCTCATCAATTTCACAGACAAGGCGCGTGAAGATGGTCTTAAGAAATATAAGATTCTCTGACTTCTGATAAAAACAGATCTCACAGAGAGACTCTATTTTCATGATATCAGAGACTGAGTATTATCAAAAAGTGTTACTTCCATGCAATGCACATGCACTTACTGCGGTGATCCATCCTCTGTGCATGTGGCCAAGGGTTGTGGCTTTCCCACGCTGCACGGCTCTCCCTGGGATACTGCTGTCAGTTTGCAACCCAGGCAGCCTCCCAGTCCAGCATGCGCTGCGTGTATGCAGCCCTGTGTGCTGGGGCCATGTTGGTCATTATGGCCTGGCGTGGTACTCGCTTTTCGCGAGCCATGTTTCATTTGAGGAGGGGGGGAGAGGAAGATGCGACTGTTGTTTTATTGAGAAAGGAATGAATAATTAGTATTATTGAATTAATTTGATTCATCTGCATTTAAAATTTGATTAGTTTATACTCTTCAATTTGAGGGTTTCTATGAGTGTTTTAATAGTTTTCATACCAGCTTGAACTTAGTGGTGAGTTGAAGAAGAAGAGAAAAGAGAGAAGAAAGAAATGAGAATAACTTATCTTTATAATATGAAAACAGAGAATCACTGCAATCATTCTTTCTAGCAACAAAGATCTGTTTTCTGCATGTATCCCTGATATAGATTATATGATAAATGCATACAAAGAATACCAATAGTGCATGTATTGAATGAAGATAATGTTGCTATGCAACACTGTAGCTGTTTCTGTACATCTCTGAAAGCTGTTAATAGTTTCTTTGTCTCTTTATGTTTGATAAGTTAATAATATATTCCGATGCACTTCCTCTTTTATTATCATCATCATCATCATCATCATCATCATCATCATCATCATCATCATCATCATCATCATCATCATCATCATCATCATCATCATTATCATCATCATCACTATCATCATTATCATTATCATCATCATCATCATTATCATATCATTGCCTGCCTTCACCTCTCTCTCAATGCTCATCAAAACCAATCATGTCATTCCTCTTCAAATATTCTGCAGTCCTGCAGACCATCAAGGCGCGTGAGCACTGTCATAGATTAGAGAGAGAGAAGAAGAAGGCATTCAAGCATGAGGAGACAGATTGCAAGACACATTATGATGCCTTGAAGAGGCTCTGCAAGAGAGCAGAATGATAACAATTTTAAGTAACACTTCTGATAGATTTAGACTGAACTAAGTATAGGAATAATGCAGATGATGCTGTCTGTGAGAGATTGAAAAAGAAGATAGTGAAGAGCCTCATGCAGCAGTGATGGAATCAGGAGAAGTTCTGAGAATGATTTGAGGTCAAGATGAAGAGAGAGAGAGAGAAGAAGAGTGTTACTGTAAATAAGCAGCAGCAGAAGAAGATTGAGAAGGTATTGAAGTGAGAGACAAAGAAGTCAAAACTGATAAGTTTTTTATTGAGAGATAATGATTTTTGATAACACTTCTGTTCTCTAATTGATTAGCAGGAGCTGATAGAGGAGAAGGGGATTGAGGCCTTGTTCAGGTCTTGAATGCGCTCCATGATTCAGGACATTGAGAAGGCAGCCCTGCTCTCTGAGCATGTCAATCTGCTTGCTGCTGAGGTGGAACCTGAGACAGTAGATCAGAAAATGTGGGATTTTGAAGCACAGGTTGACCTGGCTGAGGGGAAGCAGTGAAAACCCTTCTCTGAGAAGACAGTAGAGAGAGATTTTGAGATGATTATCATCTCAGATGAGAAGGAGAAGAAGAAGAAGAAGAAGAAGAAGAAGAAGAATGAGAAGTGAATTATGAAGAATGATAAGAAGAATGAGAAAGAGAAGAAGTAGATTTTTTTCTTTTTATATTAGTTAGTTATAAGTTTAAGTTTTTAATTATTAATAATTAAAATTGATTTTGAGTTTTTAAAAATTATTGTACAAGTTGTAATCAAGTCAGGAATGATATATATATATATATATATTTAACTATCATGATTCACAAATCACTATAATGTATAAGTATCAACATTTTTTCAACATTGATATTCATAATATTAATATATTTTTAATGATATCATCTAATAATGCAATTTGATAACACTCTCTTTCACAATATTAATATATTTCAAGAAATATGACAGAGATTAATCAAGATTATTTGTTTACTTTTATACATCAATGATATCCAATCTGAGTTAGTACTAAAATTATAACTAAGCTAAGAAACAAGATTATTTTCTCTTATATTAATTCTTCTTACACACATCAGTGATCAGTTATTGAAAATAAATTATCATCTTTCTCAAATTATTATCATGTCTTCTGAATTCACTTCTTTCACTTCTTTTACTTCTATTGAAGATTCACAAACTCTTCAAGAAATCACTGTGAATCACAAAGTCTATATTGTTTACAATTCAACACAGAATGCTCTCTTTCAATCATGATGAATAATCACTTCATTCTTTACATCTGATTCCAGGCCACAAAATTTATGAAAAACTCAACACAAACATCAAGATGAACTATGAAATAATTATTAACAGGTTGCATTGCAGATTACTGAAGAGTCATCTCTTTGCTGCAATTACTGTAACTTCATTCAGAAACATTCATCATGAACTGATCATGGCTCTGGAGAAATTTCTCAACATCTGAAGTCATCAGAATGCAGACAATAAAAGAAAAATAATCAGAAAATTACTACTGAGCTGGTAAGTTGCTCTACCAGGTAATGATTTTTGATAACACTAACTTTCTAATTTGAAGGAAATCATGTGAAAATGATCCTGTATCAGTACTCTGATTTCACAACTCTCATCTGATAACTTTCATGAACAATTACTTTGCATGTGTATATCTCTGAATCTTTCTCTTTGATCAATTGAAAACCCTGAATTCCAAACACTTCTTCAAATGCTTAATTCAAATCTTCATATTTCACATCAATCCTGTCTTCAGTCCAACCTCAAGACACACTACAAAGTCAATATGCAATATCTAGAATCAGAGTTGAAGAATCATTGAAGAGTGTCTCTCACAGTGAATGCATGAACTAGTACAAACAATCTTGCATTTATGAGAGTTACATGTTATTACATTGATGAGAACTGAACTTATTAAGAGACATTAATTGAATTTGAATCATTGATCAGTAGTCATACTGAGGATTATATAACAGAGGTATTAATGACTGTGATTAAAAATGACTATTGAGATATTAGTCTCAGTCTTCTTACAATTACAACTGACAATGCTGCAAATAACTACACTATGATGAAGAGCTTGGAGCAAAAATTGGCTTTGCATTCCTGAAATGATAAACAAGGTCATATTCTCTGCATTGCTCATGTGGTTCAACTTGTGATGCAAACACTGGTAAAGAATCTTAACATTGAGATAAAGAATAATGAGATAGCTGGTTCTTGAGATGAGAATGAGATGAAAGTGATTACTCAAGTAACTTTTGTATTCACTTTACAAAAGATAATGTTTTTTGACAACACTTTTTAATATTGCTTTTTGATAACACTTTTTGATAATGCTACTGTTAATTTTGAATAGATTGACTAATAATTTAAATATCATAGATTCAAAACATTGCTAATGTGATTTGTATCTCTTCTAAATAATAATAACAATTTCATGATATTCAACAAACAAATAAATCAGTCACATCACTGAATATGATACAGAATGTTAGAACACAGTGAAGTTCAACATATGAGATAGCTGTTCAGACTCTTCAATTGTATCAGATAATTGATCATTGAGTGCAACACTCTGATTGAGAAAAGATTCAGATATTGAAACTTTCTGATATGAAGTGAACTCAGTTGAAATATGTGATTGATTTACTGTTTCAGTTTTATAAGACAACAAAGACAGTCTCAATCACTTGTACACCAATGCTGCAGTCAGCCTGATGAGTGTATAACAGTTTATTTACTCATCTTGAGAAGCAGTTGAATCACTCAAAAAGAAATTCAGTCTGGAATGATGCTATAGCGCAGGCTATTGTTGCTGCAAGAGATAAACTGACATATTACTACAGCAAAATGAAACAATCTTTTGCAGAGTACTATGCTGTAGCAGCTCTACTAGATCCCTTCTATTGAGTTAATATCTACACTTCTCAAGATTGAACAGAGGAGGAATGAGACTCATATGTCAAATTAGTCTGAGACTACTACAATATCAACTATCAGAGATTTGAACAAGCAGATGTTTGAGATGTGAAGACAGTGAAATACAATTCCCTAGTAAGTAATAATCTTTAATAACACTTCATATCACATAGAACTATAATACTAACTTTGAAACAGAACTTACATACATTGATTGCAACTGAAAATCAGGCAAAACTACATGCTTGTAAAACTGAATTTGACTGCTATCTTCAAGATGATCTGACAAATTTACACGCTAAATCAATTCTAGAGTTATGAAAAATTGTTGAGAGTATATATTCAACTGTTGCACTGATGGCGCGTGATATTCTGACAATTCCATTAACAGAGGTGAGAATGAAGTGAAAGTTCAACTCAAGTTGAGATATTTGTCACTATCATCAGGGACAATTACAAGAAGAAATAATCAAGAAACTCATGATTGTAAAACATGAAATTATCAGACAGTTTAATACCTCTGATCACAGTATATCAGAGAAGTGTAGTTTTCATGAGAAAGTGAAGAATAAACTTGCACAAGAATGTATTTAGTTATTTCATGAGTGTTATCAATAATCATTACCAAATTCTGATTATATAAGCAATCACTGAATGAACTGAATGAGACTGATTTTGATCTTCAGTCTCAGTCTCATTCTGATTTTGAAAGAATGATCATCTTTCACAGTTTATCCTGGAAAATTACTCCCATTTCACTGTTCTTGAATTAAATCTGGTCATTTTTCACGCCATTTCTCTCAGAAATGGTCCATTTTCAGATTTTTTTGAGGCTTGGTCCTGGTGGGACTCACGCCAAGAAATGTATGAGACCAGACCAAATGGGACCAAATGTGAAATTCATGGTCCCGCCGGCCAGTCTAGTTATATTCACATAACTGAATATAATTAATATATATACACAGTTATAAATACAGTCTGAGAATAAATAAAAGACTATCTTTAAAACTGTACTGAAATTATTTAAATATCTAGTAATATATTTTAATTTGACTAATACTCTCACAGTATTTCAGTCTTTTATTAATAAAATACTTCATATATATCTGAATATCTTTATAATAATATATCTGAATAATGTGATAATATACTCTGTAAAGAAGAAAGAACACACTGAGTATATATAAACTGTGTTAAAGATTTTAGATGAGATAGAACTAAATATTAAGCTTATAAAGTATAACTTCAGTATCTATTGAGTTAATTTTCTAGAATATATAATCACTACAGATGATATTCAGATAAAATCTTTATAAATTAAGACTATTCTATTATAACTGAAGTTAACTAGTATTCATAAGATTCAGATCTTTCTGAACTTTGTGAATTTCTGTAGATAGTTTATCTGTATATTTATAAGAATCTTCTTAACTCTCACAGATATACTGAAGAGTGAAAATAAGAAAAAGTCATATCATAAATAAAGAATGAAAGGAGTATTAAGAAGAAAGAGCTGTAAGAACTTTCTTATCTCAGAAGCTCATAGAGTTTTTATAAGATTAAAACAGATATTTATAAATACAGTAATACTATTTCACTTTAATTTCTTACTTTTAATCAGATTGAAGATAGATATCTTCTTCTTTATAATTTCAGAAATAGTCTTATAACTATAGTTAAATAAAAACTGAGTTTCAGTGATCTTTTTTCTATGAAAGATGCAATCTACAGAGATTAACTATGATATTTATAATCAGAAGCTTGTTATAATAGTGAAATTATTTCATTACTAATATCACTACTTTAAGAGTCTTATAACAGTGATTACTGTTAGCACTGATTATAATAGCTTATAAGTTATAACAGTTTACTTTAATTAAGAAACTCTTGTAGTAGCAGATTTACTAAGTTCAGAGACTGAGTGAGTTCTGATTTAAGATAGAGTATATTAAGAGAACTAAGAACTCAGCAGACAGATTCTCTCACAGATCTGACTATATTAAGAAGATCAAAATAATAGATATAGAGAGACTAGAGAAGACAGAAAAGCTTTATAAA